TGGATAGCTTGGAGAGACAGTCCCGTTCTACTAAATTAGAGATAAGAAACGTACCGAAAATTCCAAATGAAACTAAACAGGTCTTTTCAGATGCTGTGAAAAAACTCGGTAATGTTTTAAATTTACAACTTCAAACTACTGATATAAAAGATGTCTACAAACCTTTAGCGAAAGGTCTGTAGACATCTTTTATATCAGTAGTTTGAAGTTGTAAATTTAAAACATTACCGAGTTTTTACCGAGGGACAATATCAAGCCGATTATTGTTGAGTTGAATTCAGTACTTACTAAAGAAAGTATGTTGTACAACCTTAAAAAACTAACCTTGGAAGAAAAAGAAATAAATTGAATAAAGCTCTTTTTGACACTGATAGCCCATAAAAACCCTTATTCATTTCGGAAAGTCTCACTGCAAAAGGAAGACGACTATTTTTTCTGACTAGAGATTTGGCTAACTCATATAATTATGCATACTGCTGGACATCATATGACAAAATCTACCTACGTAAGAAAGAAGGAATGCCCCACATTCGCTTACATTAAGAGTCTGATCTTACCAAACTAAAACCAAACTGACTAGTTTTTAAAATCATTACTAACATTTCGGTTGTACTATTTACGAATTCAGTAACCATTGCTGAAACAATATTTCACTTGTATGTTTTTATAATTATTAAGTTGATTTATGTTATTCTAGTTACTTTAATTTTACGCAATTTAAAAAAATTATTTACTTTTACCTACTACTCACTACCAAAATTAATATAATTATTCGATTTCAAAATACTTTCCCTCATAATTTATTACTTACTTATACAAAGACTATATAAACAAATATCCCCATAAAATGTTTCCTTCATAATTACGTGTTATGTCCAGCTTATTTGTAAAAATATTGGACATCAAAATATAGCCCTTGCTTATAAAAAATCTTTAGGTCTATCTTCTGAATGGACAAATCAATAAATGGATAGTATTTCCTTAGAAATAGATAAACTATCTGTCTCTGAATCCATAGTTTGTGATGTTGATAAATTTATTTTACACCCAGCAACAAGCCTCACTGTTATTACACAAAACATGGGTAGCATCTCTGCTAATTTTGATAATCTACTCACGATGTTGAATAGGCTTAAGATCGAGTGTGACATTGTTGTCTTGACAGAATGCTGGTTATCTTACTGTCCTTTTGTTCCAAACCTAGACGGATACAGATCATATTCAACTAAGAGTTTGTTTACCCAAAACGATGGTGTAACCGCCTACATTAAATCTAACCTCAATGTATAGAAGAACCTGGTTGTCAGGACTCAAATTGTTCAATTATAAAAATTGGTAAACACACAGATATTCTTGCTGTTTATAGATCCCCTTCATACAAAAATATTGATAACTTTCTGCAATCTCTCAACAATATTTTAAAAGATTTATCTCTTTTTAAAAATATTGTTATCACTGGCGATATTAACATTGATACTTGCTCTGATCAAATGTCTGTGGCATAATCCAACTACTTAAATCTCTGTTCCTTTCACGGTATTCTACCAGCATATACATTCCCTACAAGACATAGCAGGACATGCTTTGATCATATGATGTTAAAGACTAAGAATCCAGCTATCACCATTGTATTACAAACTACTGTCACGGATCACCAAGCAGTCCTTCTGTGTCTTAAATTTGGCTGAGAAGACTATAGCTTGTAAGAATCTATCACATATTAACATATTCTCAATGCAGTCTCACAGATCTTTTGTTTTATCGGACAATGATGAAGCTGAAGTGGAGCGCTTAATTTTGGACCTTAAATGGGTCTGTTCAGTAAGTTGGGATAATATCCCTAACTAACTTTTAAACTGGCACATCTTAGTCCCAGTGCTAGCTTACATTTTTAAGCATTGTTTGCATGAAGGCACTTTTCCTACGGTCTCAAAAAAATCAGTAACCTATCTCTATAAAACTGGCGATAAAAATCAGGTAACAAACTACAGGCCGATCTCTATCCTACCTTCTATCTCCAGGCTCCTGGAATGCATTATCAATAATAGAATTATAAAACACTTAGAAGCAAATAACTTACTTTTAAATAATCAATTTGGTTTTAGAACTGGCAAATCAACTTGTGATGCGATCCATGAGCTTGTGGATCAGGTGGTAAGGAATATTAACGCCGGCAAAAAAACAATAGGCATATTTGTTGAAGTAGCAAAGGCCTTTGACACATTTTCGGTGCCAATGCTACTTAATAAACTAGACAGGCTGTGAATTCGAGGTAATCACTTAAAACTAATCGAAGATTACCTTTCAAATCGTTGTCAATGCACCAAGATTGATGACTTTATTAGGGATGACCTACCTATTACTAATGGTGTGCCGCAAGGCAGCATATTAGGGCCAACTCTCTTTCTAGGCGATTTAAACGACCTTTGTGATCTTCGTCTAGAGGGTGGTAAAGTTATCTCTTATGAGGATGACACTGCGCTTTTGTTCTTAGCCGACAGTTGAGAGGATGTTTATAGAATGGCGCAGGAGGGCTTTAACACTTTGTGTTACTGGTTAAAGTTCAATGTCTTGACTTTAAACGCAGAAAAAACTGTCTACATACTTTTCTCCATCTAAAACACCACCTCATCAACTCCTTCGCTTTCTCCGATTGCGCATAATTGCTGCAATATTGACGTAGGCCATTGCTCTTCACTGATCACTACAAATATGGTTAAATATCTTGGTATCGTTATAGATAAAAATGTTTCATTCCAACCTCATGGTAATTTAATTACTACGAGGTTGAGAAATCTGATATAAACTTGAACGTCGAGCGGTCAAGTATGCATGACGTTCATTGGAGTAATAACCGAGACGCCATGATTTCAACTAGTGCGACATCATGCAAACTTGATACCGAACTTAAACGTGAGTGGTCTATACGGAAGCACTGCAAACTGGACGCTGCTTCAAGCGCGCTGCAAACTTGACGATAAACTGGATCATATATGGCGTCCATTAAGTTTTTATAATTAAATTGTACCTGTATTGTAATTTTGTTCAAGATTTTTAACATTCTTTCACCGTTATTAACTTTTTTAGAACTTTTCTTCGATAGTGTTTATAATCACAACGTTTAATTGCTTTATTCGTACTGAATTAACACATCATGTCATCTGTTGCTCGGCAAACAACTATAGCGAGATATGTTTTATATTGATACTAGCCTGCCAGGCAGACGTTGTTCTGCCCTTTTCGACGATATGTTCTATTAAAATCCTTAAATTCGCAAAAAAATATTGGGTGGTAAAATAGTGGGTCACTCATGGGCAAAAAAACTATCCTCTGTCTCAAGTTGGGCCAAATTGCACACGGTGTGCAAATTTGATTAAAATCGATTAAGTAGTTTAGGAGTCCATTGCGGACAAACAACGTGACACGTAATTTATATATATTAAGATAAGATTATCCGGCATTTCCCTGGGACAAATAGTTCGAATAGGTAAGTCCAACTTCAACCGAGAGGTCAATCGACGAATTCACCTCGGCTAGGCAGCGTTCGGGAAATTACGACACATCTTCTCATTAGGTATACCTCAAACTCTGAAAACTAGATTGTACAACCACTACGTGTTGCCAGTTGTGATGACTTACGGATCTGAGACGTGGTCCTTCACTGTTGGCCATATGAGGACGCTCAAGGGCACTCAGCGAACTATGGAGAGGGCTATGTTTGGGGATTTTCTGCGTGATAAACTCAGAAATGAGGATATCCGCAGTCGAATAAGAGTAACGGACATAGCCTAAAGGATTAGTAAGTTGAAGTGGCAATGGGCCGGCCATATAGCTCGAAGAACCTATAACCGATGGGGAAGCAGCCTCGTACCGGTAGGCGTAGTGTTGGGCGACCTCCCACTAGATGGAGTGACGACCTGGTAAGAGATGCTGGAAGTCGAGGCTCAGGACCGTGCTTTGTGGCATTACTTGGGGGAGGCCTGTGTTCAGCAGTGGACTTGTGAAAGGCTGTAATGATTGATGATGATGATGATGATATCCAGCAGCTAACTAGAAATCAATGCAATAAACACCGACTTTGTACATTTTGTGCAACGAAAAAAAATTTAATAAATAAATGAACTGAATTTTTAAGACAATTAATAGAATATTATACATATTAATAGAATAAAAAAGAAAGCGAAATAGATCTCTTCAAACTAAGTAAGACACATCATTTTATTTCATTGAGCGGATGTGTGCGAGGTAATTCTTACCAACTTTAATATAATGGATTTCCGCAAAGTAACGCCTGATTCTGTTAACTACATATCTCAAAAAAATTAATGACTGAGCTTGGCAGAAGCCAGTTCATATAATTATTTAACCTTCGTTGCACAAAATAATTATTAAATAATAAATAAATAAGTAATTAAAACTCTTGTCTGTCTGTCTGGGCTAATCTTCGGATTGTGATGAGACGTTGCAAGCCCATGGAGCAGAAGAAAGGATCCAGGCTAGGATCTATTTTATCTGAAACACTTGAAGTATTACTCATACCTACGTGATAGAGCCATGCTACGACCACCCTCTCACAGAAACTAGCGTGAAATAGCAGCTTAACGTTTTCGTGTTTCGTATGGTGAGTGTAGAGAACCGGAAAACTAAGCCAAGCCGGGGCGGGTCTCTAGTTATTAATATTTTTAAAATATACCGATCACTCGTGAAACAGAAACAGAAACAGAAACTTTTTTATTCAATGTAGATTATAACAATACTTATTGAAAGTCACTTTTTTCATTTACCACTGGTTCGCAAAAAAAAACCTCTGTCCTGGGAAGAACCAGCAAGAAACCCAGCGGGACTATTTGAAGTGAGTGACGTGAAGTCTGAATCTCTATCAACCCTATCAAAAGAGTTTTCTTAAGAACGCAGCTTACTAAATATAAATAAGTATAATGAAACCCCGATGGTCTCACCAAAATAATCCATGATATAAAATAATTGACACTATCGCTCACCGCACATAGCTCGTCGCCAGTAAGGCATAACACACGATCACGAATGTCGGTCCAGTGCAGCACGCGACTGGCACAAAGTGTTTCCGCGGCCAACGCCGCGTCCACGACGCGGAAGCGAGCGCGATGCGGCCCGCTGCCAGCAACGGCGCGCACCGCATGGCATGTTGTCTCTTTCTCACACTCGTTTCGCGACGTCGCCATTAGTATGGGACGTGCTTGCGCTCCCGCACCAAATGGCGACTCCAGCTCAAGTACAGCGAGGTCGTCCAGCGCCGGATCTTCGTCACCTCGCTGCCAATCGCATAAAATATATGGACTCTGTCGCGAGTATAAGTCGACAATCCTGGCTTAACGATCAGAGTAATAATTTTCGGATTTTCATTCAGTATTTATTCATTGCAGTCTAAAAGTCTACTGCTGAACTAAGATTGTTAATAGGAAGGATATTTTGCCATATTTTTTTAAGAGGGGATAAACGAGCATGCGGCTCACCTGATGGCAAGTGACTACCGCCGCCTATGAACAACCGCAACACCAGGGGAATTGCAGGTGCGTTGCCGGCTTTTTAGAAAGGAGTAAGCTCTTTTCTTGAAGGTCCGTAGAACGTATCGGTCCGGAAAACTCGGCGGTGGTAAACAATTCCACAGAGAAGTTGTGTACGAGGAAGAAAAATTCTAGTAAAAGGCACAATGGTGGACCGCCAAACATCCAGATGGTAAGGATGGTAAATTTTTACGGCTGGAACTAATCGGAACAATTTCCCAGAACACTCCCCGTGGTAGATGCGATAGCAAACGCAAAGGGATGCAACATCACTACGTAGCGCCAGTAAATCGAGGCGATCAGAAAAAACTTGGTCATCAACGATTCGAACCGCTCTGCGCTGGATGCGGTCAAGTGGAAGGATCAAGAAGCAAGGGATTTTTTTTGAGAAGCGCCATGAAACTGAGGAGAGACGACAAAGGGATTCTTTTAGCGGTAAATGCGCAAACCTGTGTCTTCTGGGGATTGAATTGGACTAGATTTAGTCGTCCCCAATCCAAGACTTTGTTTAACAGAGACTCGACTTCAGACACAAGTTTATCCCGGTACTCGGCGACGTTGTCCCGAGAAGTATTGGCACGGCCGGTGTATAAGGCATTACCAGTGCTGTCATCTGCATAGCTATGAATGTTAAGGGTTTGCAACATATCATTGAATTGAAGAAGAAACAGCGTTGGCGATAGCACGCAGCCTTGTGGTACACCAGCATTAATAGGCTCGCAATCGGAGCTTGCACCGTCTACAACTACCTTGAAGCTCCGATCTGCAAGAAAGCTGGTGATCCAATCGTAAAATTTCTCGGGAAGCCCATAGGAAGGGAACTTCGAAAGAAGCGCTTTGTGCCAAACCCGATCGAAGGCCTTCGCAATGTCCAAACTAACGGCCAATGCCTCCCCCTTGAACTCTACTGCCTCCCCCCATCTGTGAGTTAGGTAGACCAACCAGTTGACCGACCACGGCGAAAACCGTATTGGTGATCACTAATCAGCTGGTGATCCTCAAGGTGCCTCATGAGCTGGCAGTTAACTATAGACTCCATTGTTTTGGAGAACAAGGAGGTGGTGGCGATAGGCTTGTAGTTGGACGGGTCTGAGCGGTCGCCTTTTTTAAGGATCAGGTGGACCAAAGCTGTCCATGAATTATGGACTACTCCCTCGAAGTATGAGTACCGGAACAGACGCGTTAAAACCGGTGCCAACTCCGGAGCACACGTCTTCAGTACAATGAGAGGGACTCCATCGGGCTCACTCGACTTGCTGACGTCCAGGGAGAATATTGCTTTCCGAACCGAGCGCTGTGTAAACAGCACATCCGGCATGGAGCACTCACACCGCGGGATGGTGTGTTCCCCCGTCATCGAGAGTCGAGTTGGACGAAAAGAGAGAGCCTAGCAGATTGGTTTTCTCCTTTGCGGCATAGGCCAGTGGATCGTCCTCCTTGTGCAGAGGTGGAAGAGATGACTAACAGAAGTTTTCTTGGATAGCCTTGACAAGAGACCAGAATGCACGGGTTCCTGAAGGAAGGCGAACTAGTTTCTCGCCAATTCTGCCGATGTGCTCAGACCTTGCCTTGGCATTGACTCTTTTGAAGGACCTAGAAGCAGAATTATACTTCTTTTTAAGAGCGCCGGTGTTTACATCCGAAGACGTTGATGCGTCAGCCCAGGCCCGGTAGTACTCCAGCTTATAGCGTGATGCTATTTTACAGGAGCGACCAAACCGTGGCTGGGATCTGCCTCCAATGGGCACCACAGAGGATGGAATAAAAAGTTCCATACCCCGAAGTACCACATTAGCGACAGAATCAGCAACAACAAGTTTGGCAAGCAGTTTTTTTTTTTGTTCTTTTAAGTGTTTATCAGAATAATACTGTTGCACATCTCTTTTTTCCTCTCTGTCACATCTTACACAGAATTTTTGTGAAATTAGTACTTAGTGGATTATCTTAAGCCGCCCCCGATACGGCTAATTTAAGGGTCAGGTAAGCGATATCAATTAAGCGAATCAATATAAAGAGAAGATGTACATACACGGCGCGGGTCGCCAGCTAGCGCGATGCGAGCGACGCGCCTCGCGGTGTCTGCGGTGGTGGCAGCGCGGGGTGGTGTTGGTGGCAGGGTGGGCGGTGGGGTAGACGCAACGGCGGGGGGCGGGGACGGGGCGCGCCAGGAGCGCTGCGGCCAGTGCCCACAGCTCACTCGGTAACCGCGCAGAGCGGCCACGGGCGCACCGCGCTGACGTCACCACCGTACGCAGGGATACCAGCGACGCCGCGCAGTGCCACCCGTCCTCGTGCTCCACTACGATCTGAAACAAAACGTTCAATCAACTAATTGGGTGCAATACTCGTGTAATTATGTCCTCAATCCATTGGCAAGAGTTCCCTTGTTTGATTATTTTCAATAGCTTTGCCACAAGATGCAGGCAAATAATGCAGCATGCAAGATGCAGGTTCTAATACCATAAGAAAATAACGAAGTAATAAAAATGTATTCGATAACTTTTCCTAGATGCTATAAGACATAAAATTACTTACGTACTTTGTTCGTTACTTACGTAGGTTATTTTTTATATATATGGAAAAATGAGAGGACTCACTGTTACGAAGATGGTTGGGCTGTTAGTCATATATATTGAAATAAAAGGTAGAAGAGAAAAATAAATGAGGGTTGACCTCAAAACTCTCACTTTTTTATAGAATAAGGGTGACAAACGAGCACACAGTCCACCTGATGGTAAGTGGATGCTGTGGCCCATAGACATCTACATTTATCCTCGATTAATAATCAAAACGTAAATGCGTTGTCAGCCTTGAGGACTGCGATGTTAAAGCACGTGGCGACATCCCGTTTAAGTTATTTAATCACTTATCTTGTGTATAGAGGAGAATATCCACCACCATTTACCTTGGATGTCATAAGAGACGTCAGATCGATACTAAACCAGGAGATGGAGACCAACTATGACAAACATCGCCCCCCCCCATTAGGAAATATATGGGGAGGCCTAATTTCAGCAGTGAACTTTTGATAGGATAGGTAAACCAGTGCAAAGGCTCATCTCTAGATCAACTCTATACGTACACCTTCAGGTCTGGCTTGGCCCCTTTGATATTCATAATTCATATTGATACTGTTTAGATATTTGTACACTGTCCCAAAGGTCAAAATGAGTTAAAATGGAAAGTCGATTTAGGAGAAGACAGTGCCCTAAGATCTATTGCCACGGAGTTAGGTTCTCTAAAATTTTTTTAAAAGTGGTCATGAAATGTTGCCACTATTTGCAGTTAATGTTTTTTTTAAATCATTGACTAAGATTTTAGACTTCTACGTGTACTACAAGCCCGGCTCTGTGCCCTTGATACATTGCGCACTAAGTTACGGTTAAATATCCGTAACTCCAAGTCGACTGTGAGCAGGCTGTAAGACTAGTTCTATGACCTATAAACCGCTAACGTTGTTTTCAACAATCTAACACTAATTTTGTTTAATGTAGCTTAGTAAACGTTGCATTATTTATGTGCGCTTGTTATCGTAATAATATACTTAAAAGATTTTGAGTAAGATAGACTATTGCTAAAAAAGAATAGAGCAAGTTGTCCATGCCTAATAATTTGCTCCTTTATCACAAAGGTGTAGTACTTACCTATTTGAGATAGCCAACGAATAAAACAAACCATAAAGGGAGCAGAATCGCTATCTTCATCTAATTCGGCATCATCAGCGCGTGGCGTGACTTCGGCGGACTCTTCGCCGAAGCAAGTACGCGTAGCAGCCTCGGTGGCAGAGTGGACCTCGTCCGCGCGCACACGTGGTACGGAAGCGAAGCCCAGCAGAGCGCACATGAGGAGCGCGACCGTCCGCTGCTGAGAGTGCCGCCCACTCATAGCCTATACCACATACTAATAGCAATTATGCAACAAAAATCACTACATTGACAGAAATATAGACACACGCTAAGTGATTTCTGTGACAACTTCTTTCAAATATTTTTATCATTAAAATTTTACGTCATTGGCCAGAATTGTTACGAAACGATTAATATCACAACGATCTGTTATCTTAGAGCGGTAATAACGTAAATATGACTTACTCTTAGTCTGTAATCCTTGATTACACACAAAATTTTGTTTGTATAGGCAGGAAATTTCATCATAACAGTTGCGTAGTTTTCTATTCGAAGACTTATCTACCTATCACATATGTGATTCGCTTGTGCTTCCAAAATTTGATTACACTGCTAGTCTTTGGCAATATATTATTGCTCAGGACGAATAGATTTATAAAAAGCATACCGTTACCTAAACTTGTTTTGTTCGCCGCGGTACATACTTACCCCTTGTCACTAAATCAGAAAAGCCTTTATACCGATTGAGGTGGTATAAGGAATATAGTACAAGGGCATAATACTTTAAGCCATATTATGTCATGCCTCAGTACCATAAAGAAGCATTTCATTTCTAGGTAGTAGTTTTATACCAGTACTACCAAGTATTGGAACGAACTACCTCCACCATTACTTAAAGAAAGAAAAAAGAAATAAATAAGTTTATTTGGCACATACAATATAACAAAGAAGAACTTGAGCCTTGAGGTTTGCTCACAAGAATTCTCCAGTCTTAAGCGCTACATGAGGGGGAGCGTTCTCATCGTAAGCAGCATCATTCTGTATAAGTAACACTCGCGAAGAACATACCCGCGAAGGTTAAAGTGCAAGATTTCGTGAGCGCTTCCCGCTTCACTCTGCAATAATTTCTTTATACATTATTCGCCTATTCTCTTCAATCAAATTTTTCATCTCGTTTCTTGCTCTGCAATCTGCTGAATGCAACTGTGATTTCAGCGTGAGTGGCACCACACTCCGGACAAGACAATGGTCCGAGTAGCCTAAAGGGGCGTCGACGGAGATCTGATATCCGTCCGGGTGAGAGGTCAGCAGAAGGTCCAACAGGGAAGGTGCATGATCCTCTACATCTGGAATCGGCGTAGGTGAAGTAACTAGTTGTGTCAGACCAAATGCCAAGACAAAGTTATGAACAGATCTCCCCGCATGATCGGTTGTACGTGAACCAAGCCATTCGGCGTGATGGGCGTTAAAGTCGCCGAGGATCACGATCTCTGCGCAGGGGCTCTGCTGTAGCAACGAATCTGTAGCCATTTGAACGTGGTCGAAGTCGGTCTGCATTACCGCTATGGGACCTATAGAGGCACTCGTAGACGCGTCGATGGTCATCGCTGACTACGCGTAGCCAAAGGATGGACAGGTCCGAACCTTCAAGACTGCCGAGGCGTCGAGAACAGTTGTCCTCTCTGACGTAAACGCAAACTCCAGCCCAAGGCACAAAGGAGTGTTCCAGTTTGTACCCCGGGTAGGAGAGATACGAAACATCAGCCGGAGAGTACACCTGCGTTTCGGTCAGAAAGAGCAGAGCCGGCCTCTCCGTCTCGAAATGGTAGTGGATGGCGTTTAGTTTAGAGTGAAGTCCCCTGATATTGAAGAAATTTTTTTTTGTTAATTTTGTAAAAAATAAATAGTGTTAAAAATATTCATAGTCGCGAAATATTATACTGCTACCGCAGACTAATATGTATTCATACAAGTTACCAATTATTATTAGTGAAATTTGCACTCCTAAACATCTCTTAAAATATTATGTTATTAATATATTATATTATTTTACATGTTTTTATCGTCCATTTATATATTGTGATTTAAATCTATGGGAAAAATACAGAAATAAGAAATTAAAAATTATTTATATAATATAACTCATCAAAAATCAAAAACAAATTACTCAAAATTGATTTGTTTAATGCTGGGTCACTGGGTACAAGCCATGACGAATATATAGCTGCTTTAGAGGATTCCCAGGTTGACATAATGGCAATAAATGAAACATGCTTGAGGACAGGTGAGGAGGACCGCGCGCCCGTTGTGCCCGCATACCGGCTGCGGCACGAGCCGCGGCCGGCTGCCGTGGAGGTGGCGTTGGCTTTTACATACGCTCGGGGATCGCAGTGCGTACTTGCCCGCATCCTCCTTCCACTGATGTTGAGCAAATATGGCTCTCTTTCACAATAAACACACAGAAAATTATGATTGGCACAGCTTATCGTCCACCTTGGCTCGATGTAAATATTTTTCTAGATGCCCTCACCTCATCTATTGTTTCATTCACAAGAGCTGATAAAATGATTCTTGTGGTGATTTCAATATAAATTTGCTAAAAAAAGATGACCCCAAAACTAAACTTCTTCTAAGTTTTCTCTATTATACTCGTCTATCTCAAGTTATATCTGAGCCTACACATTATACAGATCACAATGAAACACTCATTGATTTGGTATGCTCCGACATTAGTGTTTCTAACACAACAGTTTCACATATACCACAATTAGGGCAACACGCAGTGATATCCGTTCAATTTCTAATAGAAAAAGATAAGTTTATTACACGTAAGGCTTACATTCGTCCACTTAAGCAGATTTTGGTAGACTATTTTTATTGCAGATTTAAACAGTATTGATTGGGATAGTATTTTATATCTCAACAATGTTAATGATATGGTAGCAAAATTTAATTCATATATAATAACGCTTTTGACCTTCATGTCCCAAATAAATTAGTGCGATTAAAAAAACAAACTCACCCATGGATTACTGATACAGTTAAAATCATGATGAGGCATCGAAACCACTATTTCATGCGGTATAAGAAAACTAAACTAGATAAATATTATAATTCCTATAAAGATCTAAAAAACCTTGTGACTAATGCTATTCATTTTGAAAAGAGAGCGTATTTTGAAACGTATATTAATAAAAACTAAAATAATCTTAAAGCTCTATGGAAAAGTATAAAAGGTAATATTATTACTAAGGAACAGGCTGAGATAAATTTGCCAGATCATTGTAATGATCCTGATATAATAAATAAACATTTTTTGAATATTCCTGGTGATGATAATATAGACCTTTCAAAACTTACTTTCTATGAGTTTAACAAATATTATATATTTTCCATTTAAATATAACAAATGAGGACCAAATAGCGAAATAAAAATGTGTTAGGATACTTGCCAGAATTGATAACAGACATAGATGTCGACCCTACTTCATTAAATTTAAATTATTAACCTTAGTTTCTATTTACATAATAGATATAAGTAACTTCGTATTTAAAAATAAACACTTCTTCACCCAGATAAAAAAACACACAATGTAATTACTAGGCATAAACATAGGTTATTTTTACCCCCCCCCCCCCCCCCCCCCCCTAGAACCAAAATGCTCAATTGTAGTCCATATTACATGGCAATTAAAATATTCAATAAACTACCCATAAATATAAAATCTGAAGTTAAATTAAGTTCATTCAATAAAAAACTTCATGATTATCTTATTTTCAAATGCTTTTACACGCTCACTGAATTTTTTGATAGTTAATTACTAAGTATTAAATAAAATTTTATTTTCAAAATAGCCAAATATAATATAATGATGTTACATAGTTGTAAGTCCATTTAATTATTTTATTGTATATTTCTTGTATATTGCAACGCCCGACAGGGTCTATAATAGTCACTGTAACTGCTAATGTACTGTACATTATAGAAGCAATAAACGATTTGAAATTGAAATTGAAACAGATAACACTTGATATGTTACTTATTACACTGCCACATACATTGAAAGTTATCACAGCTATTGTGAATAAATCTATTACCACCTCTACCTTCCCTGATCAATGGAAAATAGCTGTGGTAAAGCCTATCCCTAAGAAAAACAGGCAACCTATTTAAAAGATCTACGCCTCATAAGCAGCTTGCCTTGTTTATTTAAGGTATTAGAAAAAGTGGTCTGCGTTCAGTTAACCGAATACTTAGAGGAACACAAAATCTTACCTTTAGCACAGTCAGGTTTTCGTAAACACCATAGCACCACAACAGCGATTATTGATGTATTTGATAATATACTAACAGCTCAGGATAAGGGAATGGGGACAATACTTACTCTTTTAGATTTTTCACGAGCTTTTGACTCCATAAATTGTACTCTTCTTCTGTTTAAGTTATCTTTCTATGGATTTGACGCTTGCACAGTTCAATGGTTTCATAGTTACTTAACAGATAGATTGCAATATGTTAATATAACAAAACATGATGGCACAATACTTATGTCTGAACCGTACTTAGTTTCTCGCGGTATCCCACAGGGTTCTATCCTGGGTCCTTATTTTATATAGTTCAGACATGACTAGCTGTATCAAAAATTGTGAGTATCGCTTATATGCAGATGACTTGCAAATATATAAATCTTTTCCCTTTTCCCTCAAGATTTTGAAACTGCTCTCAAATTATTGAATGAAGATCTCAAACGTATCTCGTTATGGTCCAAGCAAAATTCTCTTGTGCTAAATCCACAAAAAATCAATTTTTTTAATTCTAGGAGCAAATAAAAATATTAAAAATATGTCAATGCTTCAGCCCTTAGTTCTAATTGATAATGAACCTATACAGCAAGTCTCTGAGGCAAGAAATTTAGGTGTATTATTTGATTCTAGTTTGCGATTTGAAAGTCATGTAGTTGTTGTATTAAGTTCGGCAATACCTCAGTGCAGATATGCGGATAAGATTGTGTGAGTCATTAATACTGTCTAAGTTAAATTATGCAGATGCAGCCTATGGACCACGACTGTTGAGAAGGTCAGAGAAGCTCATACAGCGGGTGCAAAATGCGTGTACTCGGTTTTGTTTCACTGTCCCGCCTCGAAGTCATGTAACGCCTTATTTGAACAACGCTAATCTGTTAAAAATGAGTGCATTACACCTTGCTACTATACTATTCTCAACAATAACAAAACAGCGACCAGTATACCTGTTGCGCTGTAAATGCTGAAGTGGGCCCGAGATCAAAATAAATATAATACAAGAGCTTCTGTTCATTCCCTTGTAACAACTCGATACCGCACAGCTGCGTTTTGAGGTAGTTTCAAATTTGCAGCAACCCACTGTTGGAATGATCTACCACCACCTATTCGTTCCCTAAAATCACTGAATAGTTTTAAAAACAAACTAAAGTTCTATTACTTAGCACAACAAGTTCTAAATACGTAATACAATTACATTTAGAACGCAAAATACGAGTAGTAATAATATTTATACTGTTTTACACCATGTTCAAATATTATTGATTACTAGCTGTTACCCGCTGTTTCGCCCGTATGGTCACTGGGAAATGAACTATCCATTGCTTTTTGAATTGAAAGAAAACTGAGTTTTATAGATTTGTCAGAGATGCAGCCATTTAAAGAAAATTGAGCAAAATTGATTCGTCAGCCTATTTAAATGTTTTGAAGCGCAGCGTATAGGAAAGCATGAAAATAACCCGTTTATTCCAAATGGAAATGGGATATTTTTTTAATTAAAGGAGTTTCCTTTAATTAAAAAATATCCCAT